TTTTTTTACAAACAAAATACTACTTCATGTCCAAGTTCTTCCAGTTTTAAAGTTTTATTCCAATCTAATAGTGCTCTCTAACTAAAACATAGTTTTTCATGTTTATTCCACCCAAAATACTACTTTCTGTAATTTAACTTTAAGACTGAAATGTAGAGACGAGAACCCAATAATTCATGTCTGCAGCACCGGAAGTACTACTTGTAATTTTAATGGTTTATTCCAGACACATTACTACCTGATGTCCAACTACTTACATCTTTAAAAGTAGTTCCACCTAAAATACTCCTGGTAGTTTTAAAGGTTTATTGCACCCAAACAGTACTTATTACAGATTTTAAAGGTTTATTAAAGACAAAATACTACTTTATGTCCAAGTACTTACAATTATTAAAGGATTATTCCACCCAAAATACTACTTTCTATAACTTAACTTTAGGAGTTGCATTTGGACTAACTGTGTATTAATTAATAATTATAATTAATAATACATTAATAACTGTGTATTTGTGTGCTTGTTGCCTAACTTTGGCCCTTTAACGAACTGTCAAACAAATAAAACTTGGCTAACATTAAATACATCACACTTTGACTATCCTATACATATATTGGCCAGAAATTAGATCTTTGTGACTTAATCAACTCGGTGTGTGACACCAACACAGCCAGTCCCGCAAGTGGGGTCCTGAAAGCGCAGCTAACGGGTGAATGTGGATTATTTTATATTATAATTGGTATTATATATTAACCTCTACAAAAGACTCATTTAACAGGTTTCCTTCCATTTAACGACAGAAAATGAAAGAGCTCCTCGCAAATCGTCACCGGTAGTGACGTCACACGGCCTGGCTACGTGCTAAGCGCTAGTTCCGGTAGCCGCCGCTGCTGCTGCCTGTCAACACCACACCGCTCCAGGACGCTCCTGAGTCCGCCGGGATTTTATTTTATTTTTCCCCCTGTTCGTCTCCACTGCCCTCCGACATGCCCATGTACCAGGTAAAGCCCGTCAGCGGCTGTGACGTACAGGTCGATTTGCCCACCTGCATGTACAAGTTACCGAATGTCCACGCGCAGCACGGGAACAGCTGCAGCCCCGAACACGCGCTTCAGGTAACTCAGTGCACATTTCGGTGATTTTTTTTATTTCTACATGTCCACCTGGTTAGCGGGGGCTTTAGCTCTCCGTGTTGTCCGCAGGTTGTTGCTCACATATTTCATAAAGGTGCGTGTTAGCTGCTGTTAGCCGAGCTAGCTAGTTAGCCGGCTAAGCTAGCCGACTGAGGCTGTCAGGACAATGAGTCTGACTGGAGGCTGATGCAACGATCAGTGCACGTCTCTGCTGGAAGGATGTCAGGATCAATAAACAGGACAAAGTTAAGAACTGAGAGCATTAGCTCGACTCCACCGGGTATGTGATCAGTTATAATAGCGTTAGTGAACACACCCTAATGCTAACTTTGTGCTCCTCAACATTACATCTAGTTTCATTTATTTCCTACAATAGTTATTATAAACAGAGATTTTCACACACAGCTTCATAAACTGCATGAATGGTGCATCAACATAGTTGAAACTAACATTGTAATGTTTCTTGCACACTAATGCATCAGCAGTAATGAGTAATAATAAATGACTGTTTAGTGTCTGTGTGCATTCACTTGTTATTTAAGTGCATTTTGCTGTGTGACTTTCTTTTTAATCCGGCAATGTGAGGATTGGAAGTATTTCACTTGCAATAGAGTATTCATAAAGTATGATGTTTCACTTACTAAAACAGTGCAGCACAGATGATGTGGCCCAGCCTGGGTCACAACTGGCAAACTGCATATTTATTCATTTACCAGTCATTGTGGCAAAGGTTTGGGCACATGAGCACTGGTCCCTAGCAGTACTTGTGTAATAATTTGTGAATTAGGAGTCTATTTCTAATTTCTAGCTCTTTTCTTTAAGCATTATTTATACCAGTCTTGCACACGCAGCATGTTCATGATCGACCTGCACATGTTCAGTCCTGTTAAAGTCCGGGGTCTGTTCAGGCTCTTCTAGAAGCTTCAGCAGTTTATGGTTCTGTAGAAGACATTCATCTTTCAGTTTACTGACATAAATTTTGTGTCAAGAAACGTTTTGTCCAACAAGCTCAAGTTGAACTGCTCGTTTTGTTTTTCAAAATAAGTCTGGCTTATCTGGATGTTGTTTTGTTTTTTTATACTTAAAATGTTGACTTTATGATGAGGTTAAAGTTTATTTCTCTTGGCAAGTGGAACTGTGCCAGAACTACAGATTCAGGTCTAGTCATCAAAATCTGAACATTTTCTCTGATCCGTCTTGTGTGTGTACAGCTGTAGGAAACCCCCCTGACTGAGATCCTGTTAAGTTCTGAGTTTGTTTTGGTTTCATGTTGAGACACCAGCTCTCCCCTAAAGGATCGTGCACAGATTGTTTAATCTCACACCGTCAAATTCCCATCTGAACTTTCAGCCGGACTCAGTCCTTTCTCTCGGTCTCTACAGAATGGCGAGGTGGACCCAGCGGTCAAAGCTCTGGAGGCCCGGCAGGATGAGATCATGAGAAAACTGTATGAGCTGAAAGCAGCGGTGGAGGGCCTGGCTAAAACGGTGACCACCCCAGACGCCGACCTGGACCTGACAGTCAGCAGCAGCCTCTCCTCCCAAGTCTGCAGCTCTAGCACCTTTAAAGGCACCACAGACCTGGACACGCTACTGGGCAAGGTGAGGAACTGACGGCAACACTGGCATCCTCTGCTTCTAGGGATGAGCACAACTGAAGGGAGTGTTTAGCACACAGTGACCTGACAAAAACGCAACATGTTGTACTTTTCTTTTCCTTCTGGTAGCTGCCTGCTCTTATGATTTCCTGATCACACCCATCGTAGCTGCCTTTCATTCCAAGTCACTGTCCTCGCACGCACAACCTGCTCGTATTGAAATCTGTGTAGAAGCAGATTGAGGGTGTGGACTGATTGTTACCGGTTTGTGCGCGCTGTAATGGCCTAGTTACAGTAGATCTACTTCATCCAGTCCTTACCTTTCCTACAGGACCTCGGTGCTCTCCGTGACATCGTCATAAACGCCAACCCGGCGCAGCCTCCCCTGAGCCTGCTGGTGCTCCACAGCCTGCTGAGCCAGCGCTACCGGGTGCTCTCCACCGTCCACGTCCACTCCTCAGTTACCAGCGTGCCACCACAGCTCCTGTCCTGCCTCGGCCCGCGACATGCAGACAGCTACGCCCGTCACATGTTCCAGCTGGGCTTCACCCTCATATGGAAAGACGGTAAGACGACAGGGACACAGGCACTTTCCAAAACAAAGTGCTTCTTGTGGTTTGGTGGCTGACTCAGTCAAAATAGAGCCGCCAAGGCTACAGAAGGCCTAAAAATAATCACATTTTGTACAATTTCTTTAGTATAGAACTACATCAGTGGGTAAACTGCAAACATGACGTGCTCGTTGGTCATTGGCATACTTTATATTCACCGAAGAGTGAACAAATATAAACTTAAAATGTGGCTTGTAGTTATGGTTGTATGATATTGGAAAGAGCTGACATGGGTAGAACTTACCAAGTGTAAGATGCAGTTTGTGGTGAAACCTCTGCAGCCCGGTCCTCGTGTTCAGCCTTCACCATGTTCACCACTCGGTCCAGACATCGAGGCTCCAAGGAGTCCATGTGGATCTCATTGGTACGATCACCACAGAAACATGCAGGTTACAAACAGTCTCTCTTCATTCATAAAGTAAATGGCCAGACTTGTGTCGGACTCGGTCGTCTGTCAGGATCCACATGTCCTGTGCAGCTCTGTGATGGTGTCACTGATGCAGCCGGATCAGGTTTTTAAAGCCTCCTTGCTAGCAGTGCTAATCATGTCTTTGGTGGTGCATCTCTCTGTTGTGTTACCTTTCTCATGTGGTGTAGCACTTGCAAAGACATCTGAGATTTTGCTTTGGATGCTATTTAGATTTGGCTTTGCACTCATCATACAGAGCTTTAGAGAACAAACAAGTCAGTCGTGTTCCGTCTTGTAGAAGCAACAAGCTGCTGCCAGCAGAGTAGCGGGGTGGATCCTCTCTGGAGCCAAAGAGTTCCTCACAAATGAAGCCACGTCTTTTCTTTTCACAAACAAATGTTCTTTTTCAGTGTTTCTCGGTCAAACCCTTCCACCTGAGTAAAGTACGTTCTGTCAGACAGATTTTTTTGAAAATTAGAACCGAGCACGTCTTCTGATTGAACCAAGCCGTGAGAGAAGTGTGTCCAACTTCACATTTTATTTCCTTTAATGTGACTATTGCTCATAGACGGACGTCGGTGTCGATGCTGAAGCGACGCATCAAGCAGCCGTACTCATCATTAACTCACTGACTCCAGTCGTTGAGCTTACAGTTATTAAATTCTTATTTTAAAATAGTTAGAGCCTGGTTGTCCCAGTATAAGAACAACAGGAGCTGAAATCAGTTATTATTCAAGTTTTTAAAAGCTGTCGGACATTGCTTTTAGGAGTTCAACCTGAAAACATGAAGAACGTGTGACGTGCATGACGGTGGGAGTCAATCAGAACAGACGGGGTGAATGCAGCGTATCAAGCTGTGCTGTTTAATTTGGGTGTAATTTCCTTTGAAAGTGTGTAGGTGGTTTGCCACTTGGTTTTTCTAATATTATAAAGCTCATTACCACACCATTCACCGTGTCACAGAAATTAGAACAAACAATAATAACTGTAATCACACTTAAATCCACGAGTAGGTGTTCAGCCGCTTGACTGTGTGATTAGGAGCTGAAGCCTTTCTGAACGATGGTAGTAAATTAATTAGCAGGAACAAGGAAACCTTTTAATGCCACAAAATCTCCTTTTGAGGGAGTAAACTGTGGAATACATCCCAGCTAGTGAGCCATCCTGTCTACTTTTTGTGTTCTAGAGATGCTCCATGACATCATGGAAGACTAATACTGACATCACTGGACTTTTTGAATTCTTTACACCTTCTGACCTTGGTTCTCTGCCGTTTCAGTTCCCAAACTGCAGATGAAGTTTAGCGTCCAGAACATGTGTCCCATCGAGGGGGAGGCCAACGTGGCGCGCTTCCTCTTCAAGCTGCTGGCGCCGTACCCTGCCGACCCGGCCGCCGCCACGCTGGTGGACAGCTGGCTGGACACGGCCTTCTTCCAGCTGGTGGAGGGCAGCACCAAGGAGCGGGCCGCCGTCCTGCGAGCGCTCAATTCTGCCCTGGGCCGCACCCCCTGGCTGTCGGGACCGGAGTTCTCCCTGGCCGACATCGCCTGCTACTGCTGCGTGCTGCGGACCGGCTCGGCCGCCTCGGCCCCCGCCAACGTCCAGCGCTGGATCAAGTCCTGCGAGAACCTGGGTCACTTCGGCCCCGCCAAGCTGCTGCTGCAGTGACGGGCCGACCTGGGACGGAAGCAAAGTGAGAGAAGGGCATTAGAATAAGGAAATGTCCCGGCCGTGTCTGGAAGACCTTCTGATGCTTCCCTCCTGACTGTAGCGTACTGACAGAGACTCGGTAGAAGCAATGTGGCCGACTGTTAGCGTGATTTAAAAGTATTTATCGCCGCCATGTTGCTTTTATACAACAGAGATTCTAACACTATATTTTGCAAAGAAGGAAGCATGAGAGGACTGAACAGACGAGGGGCTGGTGACGGATTAATCCACACACACTGTACACCTTCCACCCACTTTGTGCCTAACATGATCCTGCTCTAAATGTGTGTCGGCTAGTGGTGACGGTATTACTGGATGTTTTCACAGGTAATACTTTGTACCATTTGTTTATCTGAAACCATTAAAACTTCTACTTTGGATCAAACTTTGGACTCTGGATTATTTCACTGGACTGGGAACAGCTGACTGAAGTGCACGTGTGTGTCCAACAGGTGGCAGACTGACCAACATGAAAACAGCAAACAGAAGTGGTGGCAAACAGTCACTTATAGCAAAGTTTCTAATGCAGGGAAATTACCTGCAAGAGTCATGATAAGAGTTGGTAAAAAACACGTAAAGGTGCGTCGGTGCTCGCTACAGAGATCTCAGTACCTTCTAAACTATGAGTGCAGACATGCCTCAGGCTGATGTATTTTCAACTGTAAAATGCTCAGCTCACGATATGTCTACTAGCAAATTAAAGATAAAAAAAACACCATATGGATGTGATGGGTTTGTAAAAGAAATGTAAGTGTAGGACTGAATCCTGCAGGAGAACTGTACATATTAAATATGGGCCTCTAACAGAAACACAATAAAAAGTGATGAAGATAATTCAGTCATCTACAGCTACGTTATTAGAATTATGTCGTATATGGCTACATAGTGTGGCTTTACTGTCCCACAACAAAGAGCAGGTAATCACTGACTTCATGTTCACTCATTCAACCTGTTTATAACTGATCTACCTACAGCACCACCACTCTGCCTGCGTGTCCTGCACCGTGACAGCTCTGTTTTCTGCAGCAGTCCTTTACCTGTTCCAGCTGTGTCGTCTCCTTATCAGCTGACGTGCTGCTGAATGGAATCCCGATTCGCCGTCCCTCCAGAAGAATGGACTGTGGAGCTGCACAGCAGTCGGTCCGCTGCCGGGGGGCGTCTCTATAATCCTGTGAGACTGTGGAAGGCAAACAGAGACCACAGAACGAGGATACACACTGAGCAGCAGCTTCATCGCCTGTCCAGCTACCTCATTCAACAACACAGTCAACGCCACCACCTGCTATGAGCTGAATAGTAAAGCAAAATGATCACAGCTGATGTAGAAATAATAAAAAAACAAACAGAAATGCAAAATATTAGTAAAACCTAATTGACATTGGACTGCACAGGTGCATCTGTCAGAATCTGTGAATCCCTGTAACTCATACATGCAGTAATGTGGTGCAGAAGAACAGGCTTCTCTCTCTGGGCTTGTTTTGCATTTTCACCAGTGTCATGTTTTGGACAGCTCGGGTCCAGACGGAGCCACAGACTGTTTGTATTCTCCCACAGCCTCCTGTTGGTCTCCAGGCAGCTGTCTGACAAGACCAGAGCTCTCAGCTGACATCTGGGCACATGGCAGCCAACACACTGGGGACTCTGCAGCGCTGGAACTCTGGAGTTTGCATGCTCTGGATCTGCTTTCACACCAACACAGGCGCCTTTTCAAACAGCAATCAGTATCTGTCCATGCATGCAAATGAGGCAGCGGCTTCCTTCTAATCTAATTGGCTTCTGATGGGAAAAAGAAAAGGTGAGACACAATCAGAACGAGCTTTTTCCTCGTCTCTTTATGTACGATATAAAACATACAGACAGGAGATGCATTCTCACTGAACAGCTGTAGAAAAACAAACGAGCAGAACTGAGAGAGCAGATCACTTCAGTCCAACCCTGTGGCTACTTGGACATCACAACAACAGCACGGCTAGAAAGATGCTTCTGTCAGTCATCCAGTCCCAATGTCTCTGTCCATGATTGTCAGTTTTTTTCATGAGGCCTTTCTGAAAGTGGGAGACGGACACGGTGCCGATCAAGACACGTAGAGGAAGATTAGAAAACACACCTGGGCTAAAGTGCCTGAAATGAGCTATGACACAGAGTTCTGCTGTGATGATTAGAGCACAATACGGTTTGATTCTGCATCACTTCAAAGGCTGAGGAGTCCCTCATCAGTGCATTCACTCTGTGATTAGAGAGCACACGTTGCTGTTGTATCTCAACAGCTGGACGCGCTCGAAGTAGTCGTCGGTGAGAAAGTTCCTCTGAGAGGTGACCAGGTTCCCCTTCTGGCTGAACAGCCGCTGGACGGGCGCCGTGGACGGCAGCGTGGTGTTGTACTTGAGGAAGAGCTGCTTCACTCTGGGGAAGTCCTGCAGGCACTCGAGGCTCTTGCCGGTCCCCTCCACGTACTTGCGGACCTCGTCCACCACCCCCCGCTGCTGGATCTGGACCGCCGGCTTCACGGACCCGTAGCTGAAGAAGTCGTCCTCAGACTCGATGGTGGACAGATTGCGGCTGGTGTTGGCCTCGGTGACGCTGCACGGGTCCATCTGGGCGGCCTCCGTGGCCAGCAGCGAGCACATCTCCTCCCGCTCCGAGGCGGCCATCCACCACAGGCGGAACTGAGGAGTCGTGGCCGTCGCGATCTTGGCCTCCGTGCTGGCGAACAGCTCCTGGAACCGCACGTCGATGGCCACCACGATGGAGTTGATGACTTCGCCGAAGTAGTTCGCCGCGTCCTTCTGCTCGTTCAGCTTGTTCTTCAGGCTGAGCACGGTGGGGATGACCAGGCCCAGGTAGCACTTCTGCTCCGCCTGGAAAAGTTCGAGTGCAAACGCGAGCGGGTGGAACACCGTCACGTACTCCTTGAGGAAGGCCATCTCCTCCGGCTGCAGGCGGGGCACCTCGAGCCGCGCGCACAGCTCCGTCAGCTCCCGCTCGCTCAGAGACACGATCTTCTGCACGGCGCAGTACTCCACGTTCCAGCGGATGACGGCGGGAACCACGAGCGCCATCTTTCCGATCTCCTCCGCGGCGTCCATCCCGACCTGGAGGTGGTGGCACTTGCTCCAGATGGCGAACACCTTGGCCATGGAGCTGTAGTGCAGCTGGCACATGGGCCCCTGGGACACGGCCTGCCAGAAGTCCTCGGTGACGATCTGCTCCAGGGTGTGGGACGCGCAGCGCTGCACGGTGGGCAGGAACAGCAGCATGTCCTGCTCCGGCTCGCCCTCCAGAACCGAGCTCACGTTCTCGTAGAACCCGATGTCGTCGTCGCTCTCTTGGCCGTCCACGGCGAACTCCCTGAACACGCTGATGAACGGGCTGCCGTTGTCGGTGACTGTGGTCTGGACTTTACTCTCGATGTTGAAGGCCACGTGGATGTCGTGTATCCGTCCGGCGATGGTGTCGTACGTGATCCGCCCCTGCAGCCGCGCGAAGCCCACGGCCGCGGACTTCCGCTCCAGAGAGTCCGGGTCGATCCAGTGGCACGTCATCCCGAAGAAGCTCCTGTTGTTGGCCGTCCAGATGTCGGCCGTGGTGCACACGTACTGGATGCTGCTGAGCTTTGACATCAGCTCCTCCCGCATCCTGGAGAAGCCCTGGTCCACCTTAGTGAACAGGGTCACCCTGTCCATGGACTTTAGCCCCTCAGTCAAACCCGCAATCAGCTTCCTGAAGCCGGGCTGCTCCAGGACGTAAAACGACTGGCAGTCCTCCACGATGAAGTTGAAGATCAGGTCATCGATCTTTGCCTGGGTCAGGCACTTGGAGATGATTTCCGCCTTGAGCTTCTTGAGCTGGCAGTGCCGGCTCTCCTCGCCGTTGTACTCCTCTTTCTTGCGGCCCCTCTTGGCATCCGGCCTGGCTTCGCAGCCCAAGTGTGTTCTCTGCAAGACAAAGATTGCATGTCAGTTTCTGGAGGGTTGCCATCTGCACGTCTGGAGTTTCCGACAGTTTAGAAAGTTTATGTGCAATGAGCAGGCCTGAAACGGCACACATGGAGGTGAAATGAGCGCGTCTGTGCTGAGGAGCCTCCGGCGCCACGAGCTGTACTCAGCCTCCAGTGTAACGTCTAATCACGAGGGTCGCGCTCATCCATTCATCTTCTACATGAACTCATGTGTGCAGCTCATCCTGCAGCTCTACCGCCGTCTGCAACTTACGTCTAGATGCTTCTTGAGGTTGGACGTGGAGGTTTTGGACGTGGACAGCAGGTTGACCCTCGGCAAGCACAGATTACACTGGACGATGATATTCTTCCCTTGATCTGCCTTGTACGTGAAATGGTGGCGATAACGCCAACTATTAATGGCCGATTTGGTCTCGCCGCTTGCTTCGTGGTGATCCACATCCATCCCGGACGCTGCCTCTGCAGTTATCGACGTCTAGAAATGTAATAAAAGTATCGTAATCCGTTTTAGTAATCGTGATTACACGTAAAGTAACGATGGCGGTAGAGAAATCCTCATGAAAAAGGGGCAGGCCTTTGTTCAGATGTTGCCCAGAAAAAGGAGAAGGAGTGGACACTGTCGTCACTGTTTTACTTCCTCACATGCGCGTTGAGAGCCAGCGTCAAGGATGCAAAGGAAGTGCGCATGCGTACCAGACACATGGGCGCCCTCGTGGTGACGTCACGGTCCTCTCCTTCTGCTTCTTAGTCACATCGACAGCAGTGCTTTGACCAGAATTCCCTTTCCTCCGGAGCTGCAGAGGGATGGCGCCCCCATCAGGGAGCCGGAGGGACGTGTCCCAGCGTTTCACTGACACAAAACGCTATTTATACTGCAATTACAGAAAAAACAACAACATGTGAATAAAGACAGATGGAAGCGGCATCACTTCCAGAACGATCAGTGCAGCGCTGAACCAGTAGGTCTGAAGAAGTCCTGCACCTGGAAACAGAACCACCATGGCTAGAACCAGAGAGGACTCAGACATGCCCTCATCATAGAAAAAGTACAAGAAAAAAAATAAACAGTTGGAACTCAAACTAATCTTTGATTATAGGTTTTACAAACAAATAAAAACAGTACATTAGAGTGTAGCATGTATTGTATTTTTCTTTTCTGCTTTTTTTTCTGCACAGATGTGAAAATTCTTAAATATATTTGTTATGTAATTTATTTATTTTTAAAAATTATTTTATTCTATTTTTTTCTATAGCTATTTTACTTTATTTTTTTTATTTTCCTGTTGCTCATTCCCAGGGCGACACCAACAGCAGAAACCAAATTCCTTGTATGTTGTCTACGTACTTGGCCATTAAAGCTGATTCTGATTCTTTATTTCTTTCTTACTGTTTTTTGTAGCTCCTATGAACAGGCAGCACCAACCAACAGTTCTTATTACAGTTCTATTTTTTGTCGCACAAAGTTTTGATCACTCACTGTTTTCCATGCTGTCTCCTTCTTTTCTGTCATACCTTGAATAGCAGATACAGTATTTTAGACCTTCACAACATTTTTAGCTCCTATACATAACAGGCACCACCTTGAAACCGTTTCTAGTCAGATTTATTTCTTTTTAAATCACACACAGTACTTTTTGCTTTGTGTTCTATGTTCATGCTGCCACCCTGTTCTCTCTGATCATCTCTTCACCCTAAACGTTGTGTATAAAGCAGGGATGGCAATAAAGTGAACTACACAACTGTTCAAACTCTGAATCGTTCCTCTCTACTCTGCACATCAGGTCAGATGTTTCACCAAGCTGAATGTATTTTCTAACAACTTGCTCCTCTGTAAATCATTTTTTAATCATGCTGCATTCATTTTATTGATCATCTCGTATTTTTCTCCTGGTCTCGTTGCTCATCTCCTCCCTGCTCTGTGAACACTGGCTGCGGTTCGACTGAAAAGTCTCTGAATTGTTGTCGATGTTGAATTAATCCATCTTCTCAGCTGCACAGAGGAGCACATCAGTTTTTGTTTTTATAGGATCTGGTTCAAACTTTTTCTTTTGGCCAAGTTGTTTTAATAAGACATATGGAATAAAGAGATTTTGATTTAATATCACGCGCTTTGAGCTTAGATGTGGTTACTTTTAATGATGAAACTGCACATCCTACATGATCAGTTTACGGGCTGCTGCAAAGTTTTCAACCTACAGACTCTTTCTGTTTTTACAGCAGTTTCCGACTGATAAATCCTGATTTTGAGCATTTAAAAAAAAAACAAGAAAAAACCTGCTTTTCAAAAATGGTTCAGAGGGTTAAAAGGTTTTACAGGACGCTTTGCTCATCAACTGAAAAATCTACACCTGACGACAGGCTGTAATCATCAACCTTCTAAATATTTCGACGGCTCTAAACTCTTCCTCCATTCAAAAATGTTTTCAGCTGATTAGTCCGTGCAGGTTTCACACTGAAAAGTCTATTTTCATGTTTCCTCCTGACAGAAACGTCTCTGTGCTGGTTTTAAGGTTAATGTCAGTTCCAGACTGGCTCCATCTTCTGGTGCCATCTAAGAACCAGTCATGGTCCGGTGTGCACCTGATGCAGGGTTGTGAGGAAACTTGAATCCTTTCAGTCACGTTTCGTAAAGTAGAAAATAATCGTGTTTTAGAACTTATTAAAAGATCAATATTTCTGTATTCATAAGTTGTGTGTAGATGCAATTCTATAATTCTACATTTTTAACAAACAAATTGTGTGTTTTTTGTTTTTTTTAAATTCCACAACACCAACACGTTCGACCCACATCAGTACCAGCAGAATCTTTTTGTGTCACAATGCACTTACTTTAAATGTGAATTCTACACGTTGGTTAAACTAATGCTGTTTGATAAGACAGTCCTGCAATAAATCCTCCAGTTTTTGTTATAAGTCTCTCAGAGGCCCTGACTGGTGTTTCTGTGACGTCCATCACTCCGTTTATAACAGTGGCCTTCCTCCAGATGACAGAGCAACAACATCAGAGCCAACTGCTGCGTTAAACTCTAACCCTATTGGCTGCATGTGAGGAGGTCTGACATTTTTAAATTGGTTCATTGTTGCTGCTGAGCTGAAGATTTGGAGAATTGGACGCACCCTAGAGATTAAAACTAATTCCCAAGTGGAGCTGGTCCATTTCTCTGGCACCATGTGGGAATGTAATGGCTCTGAAAGCGAACGCAAGTCCACAAAGAGACACATCCACTGCATGTTCATAAGACTGGGAGAGTTAATCAAACAGTTTATGTATTTATGCCGCTGTCATTTGCATGAGTGCCAAAGCAACAAGTTACATCTATCTATCTATCTATCTATCTGTCTGTCTATCTATCTATCTGTCTATCTGTCTGTCTGTCTGTCTGTCTGTCTATGTATCTGTCTGTCTGTCTGTCTGTCTGTCTATGAGTGATTGACTGAGAACTCTGCCGGTACCACTGGTCCAGCATCTAATTGCTTTTTTAATAGTCTGATCCGTGGGGAATTTGTTGGTTGTCTGGTGTTGGAGCTGAAGGACCGTGTGTCATCATCTATCCCTCACCTCCACCATCACCCCCTCAGCTGACTCTGAGTTTGGTGACATTCATTCATTCTGAATTCAGCAGAGATGTTTCAGATGAGACACGGATTGTTTGGAGATTTAATATTCCAAACCAATTCCCACATGTCTTAAATGCAAAGGGCTCCAATTGTAAATTGTAATGCCAATGAGAGTTTTTTTTTCTTTATTTATTCAAAATGAGATGTGTCCTCCATTGGTTGGATTTGGTGAGGGTGGGGTCTCACTTAGGAGCCGTTGACGTAGCTCTGGTTGGCAATAGGTTTTAACAGAGAGGCAGTCTATGTAGGAACAGAGAAAAGTGTTCTGGAGACCAGATAGAGGATGACAAACAGAAGAATGAAGTGGTGAGGAGGTCTGACATGTTTTAAATGTGGACGATGTTGGTGTCGAGCTCTTCGGTGCTCCTCACATCAGCGTGGAGCCTCAGGACTGGAGACAACTGGTGTCCTCTCAGAGCCACAGCAACAAGCAGCAGGTTCTGAGCATCAGGTGACGGTTCTGACTGAACCCAGACTTGTGCTTGTTTTTCCTCCGGGCTCCACTTTCACCACAGGAGCAGAGGGTTGACGCACCTGAGCCAGTATGACCACAGGATCCGCGCCCTGACGCGCTCTGCTGCTGCGGGTTGGACCGGTGACTGGACTAGTATGAGGCGCCATGGCGTGGTGTGACCGCGGGGTTCAGACGCTGCTGGCCACAGTGGGGGCTTTCGCTGCCTTCAGCCTGATGACCATCGCCATCGGCACGGACTACTGGCTCTATTCGCGGTCATACATCTGCAACAGCACCAACGCCACCACAGACGAGACCCAGCCGCAACCCAAAAGTAAGAAGGGCGACCTGACCCACTCCGGGCTGTGGAGAACCTGCTGCATCGAAGGTAAGCCAGCTCCAAGTCCGCTCTCTCTCTTACAAAATGTGCGATTTGATGTGAATCACTGAACCCAACAGGACACCGTAACTCTGTGTCATTTTCACAGAAAACAGTTTGTTTTAACGAGGAGCCTTTTGTTTGCGCACAGCCGTCTGAGCGCACAAAGGAGGCGCTCCTTTTACGCACGCCAAATGCTTCTGTCTGGAGACAGATGGGCGACCAGAACACGATCACAACTGTGGAACAACTTTCAATGGATGTAGGTGAGATGGAGAAAGACGCACACAGGTGGTCTCCAGACTTCAGTGCCAGATTAACGCCAAAGACACGAACGGTGTCCTGCTCAGCGCTCCTCTCAAGCTGCTGCCAACTGTTACGTCGCTTTGTTCAAGCAAACGCTCCACAGTGAATTCGCCTGTTTAGTCTGTAAAAGAATGCGATGCCAAACCGGCGCGTCGGAGCCCATTCACTTTTAAGCCGGTCGCTGGCAGGAAATGTGAGCGCTATTAGTCTACTTTCATTCATGTCTTCATTGTGTCCTATGCTGTTGCTTGGCAACATCCCTGAAATCGCTATGGAAACATGCCCGGTGATTTAAAAATAGATGACTCTGGGTTCACGTCATGTCCAAGAAAAATTTTTTAAAAAAAGAAAAGAAAAAGAAAAACGTTTGTTGTTACAGAACATCAGATATTCGTTCCCACTCTGTCACATTTTGTTCTTTTCGGAAAGTGTTTGGGAGTGATTTCACGGATTTGCTGGTAGAAACAGGAGGTGCGCGCAGTGACGTGTTCTTTCTGAGGCAGACAGACTCTCATTCATGGACCAACCTTCCTTCCGACCACCCCTCGACTTCTCGCCTCAGCTATCAATGAGAGAGTCGCTGTGACTGGGTGTGTTTGTTCGTGGCACAAGCGTCTGTCATGACGCACAGACGGACAGAATTTTAAAAATACTTAAAAAAAACAACAACAAACAAACAACAAAGCAGGTCTGACTGAAGTAGAAATTCGAAGACAAATAAATAAAACACATGCTTAAACTGAATCTACCAAATGACTCCATGAGTCTTCAGCACAGTCCGACACGTCCTAATGCGCATGTCAGCCTACATGAAGCCTCGAATTTTATTCTTGTTGGAAACATCATTTTATTTGTGGTGCGCTGCAGAATTAGGACTGGTTTTACAGTGAGCTCAGACAGGCTCTTCAGAGAAGGTCTGGAGGCTGCAGGAGGAGGTCCACCCCAAACACAGCACATTATGTTCCAGGAGAGGAGCTGCCATGAAACGTGACCGTCTCACTGTCACTGAACGACTGCAGATGTAGAAATGAAACGGGAGGCAATAAATATAGTTTAGCTGTGGTGTGAAACGGAAAGAAATCCAAAACTTTTTGTTACCACTTGTTTGGAAACTGATAAATCTATTCCAAACTGACTGTGTGGATTTTCTGATTGTTTTCTGTCACTGAAGAGACATTTAAAATCTGCTGTTCACACCAAACAGCAGCAGAATAAAACATGAAGCTTTACAACTAGACAGGCTCTTGATCTGGTGGGCTTCCATGTTTGCTGCTCGTTCTGTGGCTGAGTGAGCTCGCTTCGATTCACATTTCCGAGACTTGATGTGGTCTGAGCCCATGTGAAGGCTCAGGTTGTTGCTCTGCTCTGGACTCATCCTGGTGGAGGTGGACGCTGAAGGACGTCCTGGTGCTGAGAGCAGATAGTTTCACTGCTGTCCCTTCACCTCAACTACAAGTGGCTGCATGGTGGCTCTGTTGTCATGGAGACTCATAAGTGTAGAGGAGACTCAGCGCCTCCCTCCACACAACACTACACAACACAACACTACACAACACTACATCACACAACACAACACTACATCACACACCGCTCCGGTCACAATGACAAACTCTGACAGGGAGCTACAGGTGAAAACATCTCCACATTTTGGTGAGCACACCACAGCGACACCAGCCTTCTTCTCCTCCCTCAGCCAGTAATAAACGTGTTTCTCGTCAGGCGTCAGAGCTCCTCCAGCTGAATGACAACGAGGTGCAGGCAGGGACGTGTTTTTAAAGCGAGCTCACTCCTTTATTGAAGTCCAGCAGCTGTTTTAATCTTTTTGCTTCAGTGTTTGTTCTCCCACATGACCGCTGTGAGGCCAGGGTGGCACCGAGCGCTTCTAATTTACATCAGAGGTGTGACCCCAGTAAATAACAACCAGCTCAGAGAGCCAGAAATGAGCCAATGAAGAGCCAATTAGCAGGTACATATTTACGGAGCGCGTCCCAGCTGGCGGCGGCCCGGAGCGAGCGGGGAGTCAGCTGTTTTTCTCGGGGGTCAGTGGATGTGTGTGTCTGCGAGGAGGCGTTAGTTTGTGGTGCTGGGGTCACTTTGTCATTCTCTCCACAAGTCTGTAATTAAAGCGTAACAACTGAGAAGCCATGCGGAGGCACTAATTAGCCAGCAGGCCCCAGTTTCCACCTCCATCGCTCCGTCCTCCTCCTCCACTCTCCCTTTATTGGTTTAACTCCTCAGTCTCATCGTTCTCTTCCTGCGTCACGGCTTCCTCTCCCATTACTCTACTTTTAAAGTTAACCCTCCGTAGCTGGGGCTGCATGAACTAAACAACCTTTTTGCACTAACGATCCACAACCACGCAGACTCTGTGACGTGAAGATTTGCTGTTGAAGTTTGGGGATTGTTGGTTGATGTCAAACAAAATGAATGAATTTGTTCATGTCACTGAACAACACTTATATCCAGGCTTCCTACACATTTGAAATGTCAAAATTCCATATTATTCCATACTTTCCATACTTGCGTAGGACCCCTGTATACCTGACATGTTACACACAGAATCTGTTGTTATAGTAAAGAACAGATCTGTTGCTGCTGAGAGTAACGTGACCTGGATGACCTGGATTCTGTCTTAATTAAACGCAATCACCGTCAGCTCAGACAATCCAGGTCTCTTCAGGCCACCAGATGAAGCTTTGGGGCTCCTGAGGGTTTGGGGCCTGTTGACTGGCTGGTTAACAGCCTGCTTCATGCCTCCATCCAAACCTCGTCCTTGTCTCTTAAAGACCTTCTAGAAAACACGCTGTAAATGAAGCATCTCCAAGACTGGACACGTAAATGCTGAAATCGGGTTTTTTCTGTGTAAATTAGAGGATCCATTGTTCAGACTTTGCTTCCTGTGGACAGAGCCAGGCTGTTCCTTAGCCTTAACCCTAACCCTGTTCCCCAGTGTTCCCACTAAGCTGAGGTGACCATCTTCACATGTACGGTACAGATGTGAAGGTGGGATCCATTTGCACATCTAACTCTAAGACAAAGTGACTCCAGAAGTGTACTCTGGTGAAGCATTTCTATCTTGAAACTCCCCATGACCCGCTGCTCAGGGACATGGATTCAGGTTTCCAGGGCTTCATACGCGACAAAACTAAGGAACCGATTTCACCAGTTAGTGTGAATCCATTCATGGTTGGACCAGGTGTGGCTGAATTACTCCAACTGGAGTCGTTTTGCGAAGTTTGAGCAGAACTTTAACAAACATATATAAAAACAAGTTTTACGGTTATTAACCGTTCAGACAGGACACTTTGTCAGATTTAACCGTTTATTTGAGATCACATACGTTTAGTTTGGCGGTGACTCTGCTCGTGATGCTCTGGAACGATCTGAGCCAGCAGGACACAGATAATCCCTGAGATCACAAACCCCCACAGAGCCATGAATTTACAATTTACAATTCTTCAAATACGGTATGAACACGAGAACAGGAGACCGACTAAATAGTCTTCACTTACAGAATCTAGATTACATAGTTCAAGGTACAATAATGAACCATCTGCAACCTACAGTCCCACGATATGGGAAACACCGGGGTTAAATGAAACTGAACTGTTTTTAAAAGGTGGTGGTTGGGGAGGAGGAGGAGATTTGATGATCTGCAGAGGCTGGAGTAGCAGCGATGTGGTGAGCGTGAAGCGGGCAGAATGAATGAACGCTGCTTCAGTTATAAAGCAGCTCAGTGGGTGGGCTGGACTTCAGCGATGATGATTGGACAGGACGGGCCATGTGACCGCCTGACTCCGTGCCTGTCTGAACTAACGCAAAGCTCTGTTTGTTGTTTTTTGGTTTACAAAATGTCCCTGTTTTGCTAAACTGAAGAGTTAAATACTAGGAGAAAAAAACAAACATTCATTTACACATGAACAGGCCAAGGTCTTTTACAAACTGTAATTTGTTCTTCTGCAATATGTCACCGTAAAATGATGTTTGACTGTATTTAACTTTGCTAAAATCTAATTATTTTACAAATATTTGCAGTTTCTTTTTTCTTTATTACAGTTTTTTAACCTAACACTATGCCTACACCTGTTTAATGTATGTTTTCTGGCACCCTTTGCTGCAAGAAACAAGATTTATTTTTTTTGACACTGTAGATGAGCTGGTGTGCTTGAGCTGCTGCATGAGCTGGAGGGCTGGGTGGAGAAAGAGGCTTCATAGAGCCGCATATTCTAGAGCTACATCGAAGCCATTCTAAGGCATGAAGTTGCATTAAAAAATAACTGTGATGCACAGAACTGAGTTGTTGGGGGTTAACGCTGACCAGAAGTGCACCTTGTTGAACCTCACTGCTGTCAGTTGTTGTTCTGGCCAAAACGGCATCACGTAATATTTCAAGTGACTGATTCCATAACTGGAGATTTTACTGGCTCTGCAATCAGTAAAAAAAAGAAGTTTCAAAAAGCCTGAAGCAGGGCTGACAAAAGGAAAAAACGGACAAAAGGCTAGAAGTCTGAATCAGTCCTGGAAGTTTTATTTTACACGCCAACAACTCCTCGAAGCCCGCTCATGCTTAGATGACGCTTGTTATCCGTGTTGTTTTAAGACAATATCAGGTTTCAGTCACAGAGTATAAAATATGCAAAAGAGCACTGAGGGGCTGAAACGCTTAAGATCTTAAGCACCATGCTGGGAATCTATTATATATGTAGATTTCTAACAGCCTTCACAACAGACTACATGTGGCGATACATCTCGGTTGTCTTCCAACAGCTCGGATACACATGGAACCCAAGCAGAGCCGCGTTTGAAGAAACTGCAGCCTGGTGACAATTTAATTAACCAACTGTCAGTCACATCAACACTGAATCACTGATGTCTTCGCCAAATTGCTTTTCTTTCATCCTCACTTGGGCTGAAAAGAATCATAAAATCAGAGGGGTTTGTTTGATGACACAGATGCTTTTATATTCCACCCTGGCGTTCCCTGCTTCCAGAGTAATAAATGTATGCAAGCCTCTGTGTGTTTGTGTCTGCATTTGATATGAGGCCCTGAACCGGCGCTCTCTCTGTTTACAGCTTTAGGAAACGGATCATTCCGGCTGCTGAGTCTCCCTCCTCACGGCCACATGTAAAAGAAACAGGGGTCAGAGTGTGAGCAGAGCAGGACTGGGTGCAGCTACTCCCGTTTCTGCCGTTTTGTGCAGCATTACTGAACGCCAATCACCCACTGGAGGCTGCGCGGCTCGAGTGAAATGCAATATTAATGTCACCTTTGATTGGTTTATTCATCAATCTATTTGCGGAGCTGCTGGAGTGTGAAAGCGGGAGGTGAGGCCATGTGTCTCTGGGAGCTTCGTGTCGTTACTGTACTCCTACAGAGTGGATGAGACGCAGCTATTGGTGTATTCCACCGAGGCCGCGCTCTGATTGGCTGATTGGCTGATTGGCTGCGTTAATTCAAATAACGACGACGTGCATCCCCCCGTCGCCAGAAGCACCACAGCTGTGTGTTTCCACTACAGCGTGTTTGTGTCTACGCCTGTCTGCGCTCACAGCCGACGGATCTGAAGGACGTGGGCGTGTCGGGAACGCCGTATCACATTTTACGGGTATCAAAATACAATGAAAATGTCAAACGCGTCCTCGAGAGATTGTTTATGTAAATTAGCTTATTAAAGACGAACATGGGTTGCCATGGCGAGGAGGCGGAGACGCTCAGCATGGGGCTCTGCAGCTCTGGTCGGGCCCAGGGAACCCATTATTCCCCTGTAACGTGTGACTGTGTCGGATCAGCTCGCAGTTTGTCACAACAGAGTCCCGTCGGAGCTTCTCCCAAATTTCTTCATGAGCACATCTGCCTTCGTCGCACGATCCTCGTTCTGCCTCTCCCTGATCACTGACTGCCGGTCCTCCACTGTGGCCTCCATCAGCTCTCATCATTCCTCTGCTCTCTGGGCCTTCCACCTGATTCCCACAGCGAGTCAGTAGTCACACTTCATGAAGTGCATGTGCACACACACACACACACACACACACACACGCACACACGCACACACGCACACACACGCATGCACACTAAACATAGACATCACTCTGATAACTGTCACTCATAAATCATGAGCCTCGAGGCATCCACTTATAATCAGATTTCCAATCAGCTGCAATATTGCCTTCTATTTCTTCCATTCCCCCTCTCAAACACACACACACACACACACACACATGCACACACACACGCGCGCACACACACGCACACACACATGCACACACACACACACACACACACACATGCACACACACGCACATGCCCGTGGAGAGCAGGCGGGCGTCAGACAGGCTGGAGAGGCTGGGACTGGATTCACAGCGTTATGTCAGAAATGATAGTAATGTTTTGGCTCCACAGTGAAAGGTGTGTTTCTGTGTTAGAATGTGTAAAATCAGTCGGACGTCTCGTAGAAAAGACACACACACACACACACACACACACACACACACACACACGGCCTGGTGTTCACACCACAATTAACAGAACAGCAAAGGTGTCTATATTTTTGTTTTCTAACCACGTGCACCAGATGTGTTTTTTTTTTTTTGCACGAGGCACAAAGTCTCACATCGCTGCTTAAAATAGTCCAAAGCCCTTTTTTTTTTTTTCCATCAGTGACTAGACACAGAAACTTGTGCTCCATTTCCACCGACTGATTTGACACTAATTAATTTGATGTCCCTTATTAAGCAGCAGACCTAGTTAATAGAAGCCAGCATGCCCTTAAAAGCTGTGCCACAGACAATGAAGGCTGAGCGGCTCACCCTGGGGCACCTGGGAAACGGAGTTGACAGGCGTCCATCTGAGTTCTGTTCATTGGAAGGTTGGTGCTGAAACAACAGGTCGGCTCTGATCCCTGCTGCCTGTTGGGCCACATGAGCAGTGGACTGGACTGAGACATGCTTACAGGGAGGAAAAGCTGAAGTGAGACTCAGAAATGGTCCCATCAAAGCTGCTGTAAGCTACGCCAGGCAAGAGATATGTGACTCTAAAAAGGTTTGGAGAGGAGCATTTCTAATCTTTCCAAAACCAAAAGACACAAGTGTGAAAGACTTCAGCAGCGGTTTTATCTGCTCTGACGCCAGCTGCATGTGTCGGCACATTTTAAGTTTTAAAGGAGGAAATCCAAGTGAACATACACAGTGTCTGATCTGATGTTTTTCCTACTAGTTCTGCACCACAATATAAGAACAGTGCTGCTTTTTCTATTTCTACTGTGGACTTGTTATTTCAACCTTTTAGCACAACGCTACGTATAGCAGGAAAGTGCACATGTACGCTGGAACATCTGAACAGAAAGTCTAGCTACAAATCAAAAGCCTTTGTTCTGCATAACTTAATACGTCTGGTGAATCTGATCAATGTTCCTCCGCCTTCAGTGGAAAAGCTGCATCACAGAGACTTCAGCAAATATCTTCAGTCCAACACAGACACATGAAGACACCCTGCACGATCTGTAGATGTGTTAACATCACGTTAAAATATGCAGATTTCTCCACAGTGCAGCCACCGTTATTACTTTGGGTGTCATGTGCAGGATATTCACAGTTTAAACACCCAGAGAGCTTCAGCAGCAGCAGCAGCACATCCATTAACCCCACCTCTCACCCCTTTCTCTCTCAACGCCGTGTTGTTTATACTCCTGATCAATTACAGCTGCAGGCTTCTCTGAGCTTTAACCTCTTCCTCTGCCTCACACCTTGCCATTAAAACCTTCCTGCACACAGTCTTTTGTTGTTCAAATGGACTTTTCGTTCCTTCTGGCGCTCAATCATCCACCTGAGCTGGGTTTGGAAACACACTGCAACCCATCAAATCCCCGCGGGCAAAGCAATCCTAATCACACATGGTCCCACCAGTTCTCCTCCTCAGATACGTGTGCACCGAGCCGTGGTCGAGTTTTATTTCAGGATTCACAGCAGCGAGACCTCAACAATAGTTTAGGTGGGAGGTGAAAGTCTGAATAATCTAAGAGAGAGCAACGAGTTAATCCAGGAAAATGTGCAGCTTTTGCATATCCTATGTACGGATCGGGTCAGTGTGTCCAGCAGAGGAGGTTAAGAGAAGGGAACAGAATGCTTGTGGAATAAAGAGCTTATGAGAAAAGCTTTAACGAGGCTCCAACAACAACCTCCAAGGTCTTTTCTTGGTGTTAATAACAGTCGCCTGATGGAGAGCAAAGCAACGCCGTGTTTTCCTTTTACATCTTGCTGCTCCGACTCAGAGGCAACATGGTTAAGACATGACAAACAACCTCGAGTCATCGGAGCAGCGCCTTCCCACTCCATCCTCCGGTGGACACAGTTTAACTAAGAACTGGTCCCGAGGCCGATCCAGCACCCACACATCCGTCACACAGCTCAAAACAAACAGAGATGAATTCACGCCCAGAGTATAAACCCAGGGATCGTAACTCATCACTAACATGGACGCTCATTCTGGCTGTTTTTGTCCCGCAGGCATCAATCAAGGCAGCTGCTTCAGAATCAACCATTTCCCCGATGACAACGACTACGACACCGACAGCTCCGAGTACCTGCTGCGTAAGTCTGCACTGTTCAAACCACCAGCTGTCATTGTCTTAAGTCCACTGGCCTTTAACGTCCTATTATTATTTGACTAGTCAAACAAAAAATACTCTTTTCATACAGAAACTGATAAAATGCTGAACAAAGGGCTTGAGTGAGCATAAAACACATGTAAGTGTGTTGTAGCATCATCACATGAAGAACACACATTGATGCTTTTATGTCTGCTGTTGTTCCTGCAGAATCACTGAGGTCCTCAAAAAAAAAAAACAATATTAAGAAATGGGAAAATTCAAGGCAGCTTGGCCAAACCTGGCCACAAGGGTAGTTTAGAAAATCTAAATTTGTATGAAATTCGATTGGTTCTTTTACATGCGGTGTTTCTCTGCTGCTAATTCGTTAGCTTCAAGCTCTCAAAAGACAACATTTGCAGTGCACATGTTTAGTTATTTTAGCTTTCCTTGTGCAGATTCAGCAGATTTTTCATATATCAGACAATATCTGCAGTGAAGAGTCAAACAACATTCACCAGCCTTCTCCTTTTAAAGTTTTCTGTCAGTGCAGTCCTCCCATAAATGCAGTTCCTCATGTGGCCACTGGAGGCCGGTTCAGTGCTCACAGACCCCCGTGTTAAACTTTACAGCTAAAATAAATGTATTTACAGTCTGGAACAAAAGACAGTTTTGGTCTCTCTAGCAGGTCTTCCTGCTCGTGATGACTGCATGGACGGTGGATTTTATACAACTCACCTGTTTGAATTGTATTAAGGTTTAAAAACCTGGTCAACGGTGAAAAGTGGCTTCAAAAGTGACTGAACTTACAAACTGTCATTAGTCGTTCATACAATGAATATTCATTAATGAGAGCCATTCATCACATTATTCAGCTGAAAAGCTTCAGTTTAAAGCTGATTCAGGATCTGCCTAATATGCAAAGAACAAAGAAATGCTGTCAGCCTTCGGGCAAAATCCAAACTCAGTCCATTAGTTGGGCTCAATGAAAGGAAGATGAATAAAAGGCTAAAACTGAAAAAGCTCACGGTCCTTGAAAAAAATAAAACGGCACAGTGATTAATTTTTGGGTGGTGATAGTCCAGCGTCCTGTTTAGTAAAGTTTCATCACAACCAGGAGTTTAAAAAAAAAAGGTTGAATAACAGATTTTGCATTGTGTCTTTTTTTTAAAAAATTGTTTTAAACGAAATGTAAAAAATACTGAAATCAAAATGCATCATGAAGCATTTCCTAAACTGGAGTGTTGGTTGATGGATCAGTTGCTTCATCTTTTACTAAGCACTTCTTGGAACTTGCTCTTTATTATGATTTTTTGGGCATTTTAACATTTTTATGTGATTGGCAAGGGACTGGAAACATTCAGGAAACTGTCCAGACCAGAGACTTGCTGCTCAGTGCATTTGCTCCCAAGTGGCACATTTCCCAGAGTTCTTGGAATCTGTCTCCTCTAACCAAACATTGTTTATTCGGTCGTGTTGAAGGCGTTTACAGCGAGCCGTCCCTCCGCTGTCTCTGCAGGTATAGTTCGAGCCTCCAGCATGTTCCCCATCCTCAGCACCGTCCTGCTGATGCTGGGCGGGCTGTGTGTCGGCGTGGGACGAGTCTACAACAAGACCAACAACGTCCTCCTCAGTGCAGGAATTCTCTTCGTAGCTGCAGGTGAGCTGGATGAGACACATCAGTCTACAATCTGTCTACGCTACTACCTGTTTGATTATTTGCCCTTTGCTGTGTGTCTGTTGCAGGCCTGAGCAACATAATCGGCATCATCGTCTACATCTCCAGCAACGCAGGAGACCCCAGCGACAAACGCGACGACGACAAGAAGTATACGTACTCCTACGGCTGGTCCTTCTACTTCGGCGCGCTCTCCTTCATCGTGGCTGAAACGGTGGCCGTCCTCGCCATCAACATCTACATCGAGAAAAACAAGGAGGTTCGCTGGAGGGCGCGGCGCGAGTTCATCCGGTCGCTCTCCTCCTCCTCCCCGTACTCCAGGATACCGAGCTTCCGATACCGCCGGCGGACGTCGCACGCCAGCTCCCACTCCACGGAGGCCTCCCGGGAGAACTCGCCAGTGGGCGGCCTGAAGGGGGCGCCGTCTTCCAGCGGGCCCCTCGACGAGCTGTCCATGTACGCGCTGGCGAGGGACAGCGTGACAGACAACACGTACAGCCCCGAGCACGAGAGCGCAGAGTTCCTCCAGGTTCATAACTGTTTCCCCAACGATCTAAAGGACGGGGTGAACCGCAGGACCACGCCGGTGTGAGCGGCGCCCAGAATCACCCAGAACAGGATGAAGGAGACGCGCTGGGCAACCTGTCGGTGACCGAGCTCCTCTGTCGGCCCGCCATCTCTCCATTTTGAAAGGACCAAGAGGAGGCGAGAGGAAAGCAGCTGAACAGAGGAGAAGCCAATTAACAGAACCTGACTTAATTATCTGCTTTCAGAGCTCATCCAAGCAGAGTTCCTGTTGTCTGTGCCGTAGCCAACCCCAAACCAGTGTTACCTGTCAGCTCCTCTGTGTCAGTGCCACCGAGGTGAGCCAGTCAGCAGTATTCTACCTGTACATCACACGACAAGGTGCTAACATGACGTGTACTCTTCGACTTGAACGTGTTCCATTTGTGTGTGACGTGAACGTGTGGACTTTCCTCCCAAGTGTGTGTCGTGTCCTTTAATCATGGGCTCCGTCCTTCAGAACAATGTGAAGCCTTTTGAACACATCTTTATAACACGTCTTTGTCCGGTTAGGAGCCGGTGTTTTACAAAATGGCTGCCTGGTTGAGTTGTAACGTACTGAGTGTTTGGTATTTCTACAAGATTGTACATTCAATCCTCTGAGCGATATGAAAGGTTTCGTCCCCCTCGCCGTCTCTTCCTTAATCCTATTCTTCTCTGACATTTGTCGGTGGACCAGAACGTTCTTTTTGTCCGTGGAGCACCTCTGCTCAGTGGTCTCGTTCTTTCACTTCCATATCAGCCTGCCGTCCTTCCATCACAGCCCCTGATGGACGGCGTTTTTGCCCGTCACAAGAGAAAAGGGGCGCCCAGAACTGTGACAACGGTTCAGGTCAGGACTTCCTTTTCGCTCTGAATGGAGCCTCGTCATCGAGTGTCTTATCGGATAACGATCAGAACCAGGCAGAGAATAAATGTCTGTCTGTCTTGCAGCCTGTGAGTCCATCTGGCAGCCTTGTATCCCCTCTCATGTCAGACCAAGGCCTCCGGCGGCGTCAGAGGGAGCTGTGTGGAGCTACATATCTGAAGGATTTGTGTGTAAAGCCATCCTGAACATCTGCTCTCCTTTTAGTTCTCTCAGGAAACACTGTTGTTGTGGCAGGTTGAACACTTTTGAGGTCCGATTCTTGCTTTGGACCAGTGATAAAAGCAAACCTCGTGAAAGTGATTTGACAAAAAAAACAAAACAAAAAAAAACCAACCCACCATTATCGTATTTAGTAAATGCTGTGAGTGTTTGTTCGGTGGAAGCAACCACAGAGTCGTGTTTGATGGTATTTAGCGTGTCTGATATTCCTCCATATATCCAGCTGAGCACATGTAACACAGAAGCCATCCTATGACTTTTATATACGGTGTGAACATGATCTGTTTGTTTGTAATGTAAAGCTGTAAAGTTGTATATAAAAGCACAATAAAAAACAATGAATGTGCAAAGACAGAGGGTTCAAACGATTATTCTGCTGAACAGCGTCTCAGTAATAATGCAATTTAATTTACTGTTTTTATATTCCAACATGAACTGGTTGAACTTACTGAGCATTCTGCTGCTTTAAGGTGAAGTTCAGTCATTCTGTTTGAGGAGAAGCAGCTTTATTTCTACTCCGTATGAATGCATCACGCCTATAGAGGTTACCGATGTTCTGCTCTATCATTCAGAAATTAACTATTTACATTCAAGTATGGAGGTTTGGATGGAAGCAGTGGATGGAAACATCCCGGTTTTTTGGGATGCATTTGTTCATTTACTTTGTGTTTGCATCAACAGCAGTAAGCTAAATACATCCAGTAAGTCCTGTGAGTGACGTCGGCGTCTCTTATTCAGTCCAACTCACTCACCAAATCAATCACTCTTTGAGGTCTTGCTCTCATCCTTTGTTGTAGGTCAAATACTCCCAGTTACACACTGACATGGAAACCACCAACAGGTGAAGCTCATAATATAACCACGTGGACATAATAGTTGGAACCCCTCGTTAATGAAAGACAAACCCACAACAGTCACAGAAATAACTTGAATCTGACAAAAGTAGCAATAAATAAAAATTCTATGAAAATGAACCAATGGAAATCAGATGTTGCTTTTGAACCACGGTTCAACAGAATTATTAAAAAAATAAACTCATGAAACAGGCCTGGACTAAAATGATGGTACCCCTAGAAAAGACTGAACATAATGTGACCACAGGGACATGTTCAATCAAGGTGTGTCCTCTAATCAGCATCACAGGTGTCTACAGACGTGTAACCAGTCAGTGGGCCTGTTTATAGGGTTACAGGTGGTCACTGTGCTGTTTGGTGACATGGTGTTGGCATGCTGTTGCAGGCATATGGTTATTATATTAACTACCTCGACTCAACATGTTGGCAGGTGATGATATTTCAATCACAGCCTTATCGAATTTCAGCTTTGGCAAGTGGAAATGCTGCTAATGTTGCAGGGTCATAAATCAACCCACTGGTCAAAATAAAACCCTTTTGATCACGAGGAAGACGTGAAGTATTTTTATGGAAATCCATGCAGAAATTACAATTGCACTCAAAAATCTGTTTGTAAATGTTTTTGTGGTGCAAGAAGAAAAGTTATGAAGTCACTAAAGTCAGTGAGGTTCATCTTCTGGGGACCATGAAAGAATGTAAATCCTCCCTGCAGTAATTATTATGAACCATTTATGTTGGAAAGTGGTGAATGGACCAACCAGCAGACACACTGACCTGCCGTCCACAGATCCACGTCGCTGTACAGCTAAGATTCATGCTTTGCAGGTTCTGCTGTCACACTAAAGTAAACCAGTTGGCCTCCAAGTATGAAAATGCAGCTCCAGATGTACAGGAGGCGTATAGGACTGATACCGTACAATCAAAGCCACAGGCCATCGTCTCGGCAGAGCTTGTTTTTCACTCAAGACCTTTGATTGCAGAGTTCCATTCGGATTTCTGCGGCTGACCTTCTCCGAGCTCACAAAGCCTCTTCAGCTCCTCTGCACACAACTGAATCACTGTCATCTGTGAATGAGCTGTGAGCCGCTGCAGCCTTGGAGTCTCCACGTCATTCCACAAAGGGAACAAATCACAGGCATCACAATAACAGCGGAGCTCTCAGATCAGCCGTCACTCTCGCTCGGAGTGATGTTACCTGGACGAATGAAGCCTTTACTACGTTTTTTTAAGCTGAATGAGTTGGTGAGCAAACGAGCCTTTTGTCCTCTCAGTGTGTGAGAAACACAAAAACACCAGTCAGAGAGAGCAGAGGCTGGTGGGAAATTAAATAAGCAGCATGAACCTGCAAGGTAGGGAGAGGCCCATATAATATATCAAACACCTACCAGACTACGCCGAGATACCTGCACTACGCTGCTGTGATTTCATTTCATACACGAGAAGCCGTCTGTCTAACAGGGGAAATTACCTGTGGATGGAAATGTGTGAGGTTTCTGTTCTCATTAGCTCACACTCCTCTGTCCCACATCACACAACCTCCTGTAGCCAGAGCAGGTGAGACCGGCGAGGACGTCAGCGCCGTGTGCGACTGACGCCGTTGTTTCAGAGAATATTAACATGACCCTCATAGAAATGGCCTGGGGCTCACATAATCTAATTTAGCCTGAGTAATGTTGCCCACCATTAGCAAATGAATACAGTCGGGTCCCTCTGAAGGCCGTGCAATCTAGTCTGCCACGGGTAAAATTAGGCACCAATTAAGGTTGTTTTTCAGCCTGGAATAAAAACCCTAACAAGGAAGCCGGCAGCCGTGACTGAAGCTAATCGCTGCTGAGCTGAGACGTGTCGGTTCTGATTTGAGCAGAACGGATTCTGTACGTTTCTCTCGTTGCTGTTGTCCATTTAAAGCTCTGCGGCGTTCCCGGTCATGAGTGGCGCTCACAGGTGAGTCAGAGCTGCCTCCTTGCCAGACGCTGTCATCTGTTTGTAATGTTGGTGATCCCTCCGGCATGACGCCGCCGCCGCCGTCCTCCCCATCACCGCCTGTTGCTTGGAGACGCTGCAGCTGTTTGGCTTCCCTGCAGCCTCCAGGGACCACGAGCAAACGAAGCAGGTCAGAGGGTCGCGCAGAAGACGGGCAGCGCCAAAACACACTATTATTACTCACTTAGAGGCGAGCGGTGGCCTCGCAGCCTCTGGAGAAGGAGCAGTTGCTGCAAATGTATTCAGGTGGAATGTGATAATGAACACGACGGTTTCTCGTCTCCTCTCAACCCCCGGCTGCGAGTTTTTTAAGCTGCAGAAGAAGATTTATCTTTGATGATCAATTTCTTGGTTCAGCTGATGGTTTAATCACACATTACGCTCGTTTTCTAACAAGTTCCAGGCACCAGCTTCTCTCTGATTTCACAGCTCTGTTTTTTTTCACTCACACTGACACGACTATCTATTTTGTCTAATTTGCGTACACCACATGCAAACACACGAACACATGCACATCGCAGCTTTGCATTTTCCTGAAAGACCTCTTGCTTTTAAATGCCTTCCCACTTAGCGTGTTCAAAACTCAGCGCCGTGCGAATGTTATCAGGGCTGAAAATGGGCCAGAGTCCTGTCTAAAGTGGGGCACAGCGGTTTATAAAAAGCATGTCCATTTACTCGAGCATTTCATAGGGAAAAGGTTGATTGCACCTTTGAGATGTTTCAGATTTAAACAGTTTTTTTCCTCCTCAAACTGTCTGATTCATGATTTCTTTAAAGTAAAGCCATCAAAAGCATTTGTTTGCCAAATCAGATGGGATGTGAATCGAGCTGTACGTTACAGCCACCTGTAGGAGGAAGACTGTTTAATTTGAACAAGAATGTACATGGTTCCTAAAGTCTCACCAAGAAACACATATTCAAACTGTTTGAACTGGATAGACCTCAAATTGTGCAGGTTCTGTGCCAAAAGCCCGTTTTCTGTCTTTGTGAATCTGGATCAGCTGCTGGCATCAGGTGGGACCCTTGTCTCAAACCTTGATGCTGATTGGCTGAATAAGTAGATCAGCTCATTCAAATGACAACTAATAAAGGAAATCTTCCCCC